ACAAAGACGAAACCCGCAACTCAAAGAACTCTACACTCACAGCTTTGACTAAGAACAAGCTTTAAGCCCTTAACCCCTGGTGCAGCCTTGAAAAGGAGGATTACCACTTGCAGGCAGTTTAAGAACAGTGCCAGTCAGAGAGGAAGATTCCCATGAAAGAAAACAATATTTATTTTTAAAACCCTGAAAACTGCTATTGCTCACAGTTCTGATTCAATGCTATTTATACTGCTGTGTATTACAAGTCACTAGGATGGAAATCACCTTCATTTCAACATTAATCTGATCTCTAAATACTTCCTACCCAATCTAATTTCAGAATTTGTGGGTTTTTTAGTTGTTTGGGTTTTATAAACAGGGATAGTTTGGGCTGAGATTGGGAAAAGGGTTGTTGAGGAAGGAAGAAGCACAACGGAGGTCTCCCCATACATTCAACTCCTGCTTGCTTCATTTTGTGTAGGGTTTGTTTTACCAGTTCTTCCTCTGCCCACTCTAAGGAAAGCTCCTGCAGATGGAGACCACACAAAAGCCTTAACAAAGCAAAACAGGTTCCCACTTTCCAAAACATGCTCAGCTGGGATGGATGCAAGACAGGTGGAAGTCTCTGGTCTGTATTATGCAGAAGTCAGGCCACATTATAAACCTTTGTTTGTAAGATACATTACGGTGTATATATAAAAAAAGCTTCCTACCAGAACACCCTTGCAGAATGCTGGCTTTTCCAGAAGTGCCCTTGCTTAAGGACAGCAATATTCCTGTTCACGCCTGCACAGAAATCCCAGTTAATACAGTATCAAGCCTGTTTTCAAAGCTGTTACATTATTAAACCTTCAAAATTGAAGTTCATTAAGAACTAGAGCATTGTACACAGTAGCTATTCCACAGCACCAATCCCCTAGTACAGGTTTATCCTTGGCTTCTTCCAAATCCCCCTAATTAATTTTTTTTCAAAGGCCATCAATCTGAAGCAGACAAACATCAGAGAGTCAATTCATTAACATTCCCATATTTCCACTTATCTTGGGCCACTTCTTCTCTTATTAATAGCTAGTAAGATTGGCATTTCTAAAAATAACCAACCAGCGCTGGAAGCAGAACTCCAGGGAGCCCTCCCAAACCCCATCAATCCTCCCAGCAATACTTCAGAGTCTCGTCCTAAGGTCTCCTGAGTACACCCTGGCAGTTGGCAATCTCCGAGGCAGCCCATGAATCAACATCCAATATGAACTACGAGACGCTGATTACTCAAGTAATTTATTACTTCTAGGGTGACCAAAAGGCTGTTTACACAAGGAAATTAGGATACTTTAGAGTACCGTCAGCTGTGCCCTGAAACTTTACCTCTGATTTATATGCCAGCTCAGTTTCTCTCGCCTTAATGTTCTTCATCACAGGTGAATTTAACGCTGGTGTGATGCATCGGATTTACTTTTAGAAAGTTCTGAACCTCCGTTTTCTCCCTAACTGCAAAAGGCAAAGGCAAGTGTAGCACAGTTTCCTTAAACACATGAGACAGTGTGCTCAAGCAGCACCAACAGACTGGGAGATGAGTCACCGACTATAATGAACAATTCTGTCTCTCATGGAGACTACAGAAAACAGGTGGTATTAGTTTAATTTCCATTCACAGCCTTGCGACTGTGGATTCCTGGCTGCAGCAGTATGCTTAGGAGAAAGATGTTGGGATCAGTCACCCCAATCTGATTATTATGGTCTTACTGATCTTAATCAGGAGGCAATCATGAATTACTCACTTGTTTCCCATTTACATGTTTGTATCAAATGATTTTACAGTACTGCCTGATAGAGAATATAAAAATGCGAACACTTCACACTGAAATATGCCACTGACTCACTGCTGAGGGGGAAGGAGTTTTAGCCCTCCTTGAAGCAAGAAATGAGCAAGTACAAGACACAACGCTGGACCTAACGAAGGGGACATCTGCATTTGCAGGCAAGTGAAATAATGTTTAATTAAGAGTATTGACTAGGTTATACATGGGAAGGAAGCAAGCAGAGGGGAAAAAATTATGCCTGGAGTCCTCCAGGGAGCCTGGACAAAAGGAAAATTGGCTCTGGCAGCTAACATGCTCTGCCATGGAAGAAAGAGGTTTCTAATGAGAAAGGCTCTAATGGACACAGCCTGAGATGTCAGAAAATGTTGAATACTACCTTGATCAGGATGGGCAGCAAATCAGCTGGACAGGAGAGAGGCGTTTCTAACGTAACCTCACTAAAAGCAGATTAGTCATATGGTGGTTTTCTTCTTTCTTTCCTGTTTTTCATAACCTCTTGTAACTGTATTGCCCATTTTGGATGTCGTACATACATACTTTCATCTGAATTTACCTTAATCTGGCTCGAGTTAAATGCATTTCCAAGGCAACTTCAAGCCATGCTTCAGTCAGCCAGAGACTCCTGGACCCGTCCAGAATTATCTAGCTCCCCAAATTCATTCCCTAAAAGGTCAGAGGGCCCCCCCGCCAGCTGCATGAGCTAGGGATGGGTGTCTGGCCTCACACATCTGGAGAGACAGGAATATCTTCAGTGATCAATAGTGCAAAGCAAGGCTCTGGCATACAGCAAGATACTGGGGGGACACCCAGTCGCTTGGGGTCCCTAGGAAATGGGCTGTCCTAAAACAAACAGTATGAGATGCCCCTTCTCAAAGCTAGGGTAGGGAACAGTCACAGATGATCACAGAATCATTCAGTGGTTTGGGCTGGAAAAGACTTTTCAGGATCATCTAGTCCAACCCCCCTGCCACAATGGCTGCTGCTAATTTCTAACCAGAGCTGAACTTGAACTGATCTTAGAGATGAGCCCTAACCTTTAGCCAATAATGAAAACCCTTCCTGCTTTCCTATCTTAAAAATACATGTATTTCTTTTTGAAGAAATCAAAGAGAGAGTTTGCTACTTAGACATAACTTTCCTAAAACTTGTTATGAGTACAGAAATTCAACTGTCCGCTCTGTTACTTTGCTAGCAGGAGCCCTGAGGTTTCAGCCTCAATGGACTAGCACTGCCCCACGCAGTTCTCCGGCAGAGTGCATGCATCAGCATGGACCAGGGACCATTCCTTGAAGATGCAGTTTGCATGTTCTGGCACTATTTAGCTGACTAATACTGATGTAGCCCTTAAGTGCAAGACTGGAAAATACTGTTGAACAAAAGCACACTGTTAAGCAAAACACTGCAACAAAGCATTCACAAAAACACGCAGTACTAATGAGAGAGAGTCCTGTGAGAGACATCTTCAAAGCAGATCGCCCTTACACACTTCTCTCTAGACAGCAGTCAAAATTTTGCAGTATGTTGGAGATGTAACCTTGCAATAGGTTCCCAGATTAAAAATGTTTTGAAACCAAAATTAGCAAAACCAAGTTCATCCTCCAATGGAGAAAGAACTTCTAGCTGCATTTTTACTTCAGATAAAACCTACAGGAGAACTGAAATTCAAGTGGTAACATCTCCAAGGAAACAGCTGGAAAACTTGCGGTCTTTGCAGATGCTATAGGATTCTTTATTCAAAGATAAACTGTACTATATTGTACTTTGCAGTCCAGGGGAAAAAAAATTAAAAGCACAGACAAGGTCTTAGTAGGATGCCACAAACTGTGCATGCAGCAAAACAAGACTTCTTGCACTGGATCTTGATGCAAAGAATATATTCTTTACATCAGTTTGCTAAAATACAGCTAAAATTAGTAACATGAATGCTTTCACAAATAATTTTTTAGTAATTGCTATACATTTTCTGTTGTCATCAGAAGAAGTGTTCTCTGGCACAGAGGAATCATGACTTCCTCTCTCCAGGCATCCCAAGCCAAGACGCTACTAGCAAAACTGAAAGAAACCATTTTCACTTTCGCCTCTCTTCTTTACTGAGGAGCGACGTGGTACAGACGTTTCTTAGCCATACGAAATTCCCAGTTCACATTGACACCCACGCCGCAGCAACAGGGAAACAGGACTGGCGTATGTCTTAAGCAAACAAGAAATAGGGAATCCAGAGAATATAGAATTATCTTTAAGCATCTGGCTACTGCCTGCATGCTCTTCTCACTCACACTCTGGCCCTTGTCACAAGTACTTGTTGAGACAGCCCACTTCGGCTTTTCAACATCCAGGGATGTTACACAGCTGGAAACACACAGAGAAACTCTTCACTTCAGCACTCAGCAGCTTGGATCAAAGTTGTGGATTTCTGCTTTTCGGGGTTTTTTTTGGTGGGGTAGCAGATTTTTTTTAAAAGGTCTGTATTACAGCTATTCTGTTTAAGTCCCCCAGCACATATTAATCTCATGCCAACAGGAGTTTCTCTTCCCATGCAATTCGCCAGCTTCCCCAGTTACATAACCTATATGCCTATAAAAGCTTTCTATAGCTACCGTAACTGCTAATGTAAGATAAATTAAGACACAAAGGTAGTCCCGACCTCGACTTCACACACACGCAATGAACTGACGCCATTCTTCTTAGTCACAATGCCTTGAAAATGAAATAGGAGAAAGGGCTGCAGCTCTTTCTTATATAGCTCCCTTCTTCATGATAATACTTAATGTATCCTAAAAGCACATCTGTCCACCCTAATGACAGTACTTGCAGAAAGACTCTAAAATGGAGGCTGGCAATTTTCTATCCTCATAAGCTCTGGAAAGCAGCCTTCGACAATAACAACCTGTGACGGGGCCAAATCAGGGAGGTCGCAAATAGCAGTGTTTGAAGGAGGAAGACACCCATGGTCACACAGACTGTCTCCTTCGGCACCAGGAGAAGGGTGGTTCCCCGCAGCGTGTCCTCTGATATGCTGCTTACAATAATAGTATTGTCTGGACAAAGCTACAATGGAATTTGACTCCATTATGAAGAAGCAGCCGCTGATGCTCATTTTCTACCTAATACAAAGAAAGTTCAAAGCAGTGGCGTTGGCTGCAGTGGGTTTATTTTCAGATTAAGATATATACACACACCAAAAAAAGGATAAAGCAAAGGTACCTGAAATTACAGCAATTTTCCATGACCCATGCTCCTCCTTGGCTATTCTTTCTGCCTCTTCCATTAGTAACATACCAAATCCCTATAAGGGGAGAAATAACAGGAAGAAGAGATAAATTCTGTAAAAATAGAAAACATAAGCAAGGTCAGAATGTAAGCATTAGTACAGTTCCAAAAGACTCATATTTTTGGCACAGGAATGATCCTGTGATCACGACTATTGCTGAATATTGCAGGAGAGGGCTTGAGAAGAGGTGTAGCAACACTAAGCTTTAGAGTGGAGCTTTCTCAGGGATTTTTTTCTGATCATGAAATTATTCATAGACAGTTCTAGTGTCTGACTGCTTCTTAGTGGCAGAAACAGAATGAAGTTAAATCCACTGGTGGTAAGTCAGCTTGGTAGGCATTCCATAATTCCTGTCGCTGAACAAGTCTATCCTGCTGAGATAACCAATCCTAAATAACAATCGCCCACCTTAATGGCTACCTTACTAGACCTGGGTTTGTGTTAGTGAATTAAACAAAGCCAGAGCACAAATGCCAGACGCAGTTGCCTACACTGTCAAATTGCAGAAGGATCCCAGTGCCATTCTGACTGGGGACATCAGCTGAAACAGATGCGGCCAGACACTACAGACCCAGAGACAAGCCCTGCTGCTGTTCACTTTTCTGATGTACATGTTGCCTTAGCACCTTGTAATCTTTATTTCCACAACCCCTCCAGCAGTCGGGAGCTGTTACCATGCTCGTTTCAGGATGAAGAACTGAGGCACGCAGCAACCACGGGGCTTGTCGGGGCTACCCACAAAGGCTCCATCAAACCGCTGCGTGACCCTTGCAGACCTAGGCTAGGCTCAAGCTCTGTAACACTCTCCTAGGCTCAACTCGTGACGCAGGAGATGCCAAATTGAAAAGAATTGCAGAAGAACGTGTTAATATTCTGGACCAGATCCATGCCTCTATTTACATTTGGAAATCTTGCACAGCAGGAGCGCTACTGGAATCACAATAATGCTTCAAAATAAGCAAATAGCCTTTCTACTCTAACAACTTAGTTGTCCTATATATCTGGGTATAATTGATTGGATTAATTCACTCCTAACATTAGGATGCAGGAATTATACTCAGCTCTTTGTTCATCTATTTTCCTGACAAGATGTACCAAATGGGGATGTGGCAACACTGAAGCACATGTGATTTAATTCTAAAAACCATTTAACTTACAGGCATTTTTAAATAACACACAGAAATCTTCGTTCTAAAACGTCCTTCTAATCAGAAATTGCCCCTGCAACTGTGAAGAACACTTTCTGATTAACCTCTTGAACACTGACTATTCCGAATGAACATGAGTGCGTCATATGCCATGAAATTTCAATTTGCAGCCTATTTTAATGTTTGTAGTTGGCTACTTCCAATTGATTTTTCTCTCTATTTTTTAAAAATATTTTTTCAAATACTTAGGATGACCACTTTTTTCTTCCTAAATTTTTAAGTGTTAACTATTTTATAGTGGAAATATCCACTCCCCCTGCCAGCCACTGCCTTATGGTCACATATCATCAGTATCTAGCAAAACTGCATCTTAATGCATATACTCAGGGAAAGATTAATAAATACAAGGAAGTTAATTTAAAACATCAGCCTTGAGCACTTCTGGCAAAGAGGACAAACTGATTGCTTTTTTAAAAGCTCAGTCCAAAGGTTCAAAACCTACCAGAGCAAAATTTAATTCACATTTTTGCTCACTGCAAGCCACAGCATGTTACATGCAGCAGAAGGATAATGTGCCATTTTCGTATGAGTCACTGCGAGGAATTAGAAACACGGCTTTCCACTCCATTCTTCACATGCTTTAAGATATATATGAAATGGTCTCACAAGTGTGTCTGAAGCAAAAAACTGTCTGACCCAACTAAGAGAGTTTACTCACGAGTCTCACCAAATCACTTAAACTGATAAACATCTCGGAACCAAAGTTGGATTTCTTCTGTTTTGGTAGGAAGAATGCATTCAATAAATGTTCCTTTGAAAGAAAACTGGGCAGTACCAAATAAAATCTCACCTTCCCACATGCATTTCAGATTTCAGAAGTGAAATTAGTCTATTGAACAAGATCAATTTTAGAAGGAAACAAAAAGACACAATGGATGTATCCCCTTTGTTTTGTTTTTACTCAGTTTGCAGTCAAGTCTGATGTACCATACAGGATATCAAAGGAAAGATATTCAGAACCAAAGGTGCTTAGTACTCCAAAGTCAAATTAGCACCAGCATATGTGAGCTCATATTGTATGGGCATGAAGCAACACTGATAGCATTCAGCCATGCTTTTTTTTTTTTTTTTTTAAATCTCAGGGCAGTCACAATTATCTAAACATGATCACACTAACAAAAACTCAGAAGCAGCATGATTTCAGCAGGTGAAATGCAAGAAGAGGCTCAAATTCAATTCTGTTTCTATTGCAGCAGACTATAATTCAAAGCAAGTGAATGAATCTCAGATATTAAAAAAAATTCTTCTCCAGTTGTGTTGGGGAGAGGGGTGCAAGAAAGAGGCACAGATAAAAAATAAATACAGCTTGGAGTACCTGGTGCTGAAATTTTGAAGGATCCCGACTGCTCACGGGGACAACGCTCCCATACACGTGCAATTCCCGGACAATGGAAACGCCTCCTTTCAGCTCAGGTCTGAATGACTCTTCTGAACACTTCCGCAGTCGTAGGAGGCCAACAAGAATATCCTGCTCTGGATCTTCATAGGACAGGAAGGTCTCCCAGCCACCATTAGCCACATAATCTCTTCTAACTAATTCAATCTGGTCAAAGAGTACAAATACAAAGAGGAAAAGAGAAAAGGACAACTTCTTTAAAAATATTTAAGCAACATGTTGAACAGACCAAAACCAATTTCATGGATCCATAAACTATTACGATTCAGAGGAAGCATGCAGTGCTTTCTTAAAGGCCAATTTAATTCTAGATGGATTTTAGCAGTACTGGATAAGAACTGCTGTTACTGCAGTCATATTGAAGATAAAACATGTGACTACTTTAATAGAAATGTATTTGCCAATGGGAGAGAACTAGTCTTCTATCCCTATTTGCAAGCTTTCAAGAAGGGCTGGTAACCCACATGGTTTCCTGTCTAAGTCAGAAACCTAAAACCTATACTTCTTGAGTTACTCAAGGTTCATAATCACTGCAAAATCAATGGGGGCAGCAACTCTTGCCTCTAACCAAGGGACTTGCTCTAATTGAAATTCAGATCCAGTTACAAACTTGCTAATGTAGAATGAGTAGTTTTGCATCTGCCTTCACTAAACCTGTGTTTAGGTCCATGTCTCCACTACTTTGCAAAAGAAATGGCTTGGGATGTCTACAGAACATGAGTCTTCTAAGCAGCAGTCAACTACTTTACCAATTAGTTCCTTCCAGCACCGCACAGGATCTACCTACATGAGCAAACTGCATAGTGCAACAGGAGTGGGTCTGAAAGGAGTTGGTGTTGAGTATTGCATTACATGTGCTTTACAGAATCAGCAGGAAGTGTTTTCTTACTCATTCAGATAGTACTGAAGACACCAAAACCATCCATACAAATACCCTGAGACCTGACCAGTGACAACATATTACTTGCCCTCAAATCCAATTTTTGATAGCAATCTAGACAAAGGCAGCTCTGAAGATCACAAGTGAAAGGGAAAAGTGAAGTGAGAGTAGGCTGCTCTGGAGAATACAATAAAGACCATGCCTGCGTAGAAGAAATTACTTCTGCAGAGCACTGAAAAGCTATAAAGAGTAACTGGTGGATAAGAGAGTAGAAAGAAGAAAAAACTGCTTTTTCAGAGAGTCCTGACCTACCATCATCAAGGAGCAGCCCCAGGGCTCAAGATGAGACTCCCTCACAGCAGCATGAGACCTGATCAAATATCACATAACGGTAGCTGTCTTTATAGGTAGCAGAGTTACCACTGAGTTAATTTGATGTAACCTGTAGCCGGTGATGATAATGTCACATCTCCGGTGACATAGTGAGTCACTCTATTTGCATTTTGAATTGATATGAAATAGCTGCCCATCCTTGCTGTAGGGACTCCCTTGCCCACCTGTGACAACCAGCTGCTAAGCAGACCAAAATTATTTCCCAAATTGCCTGGCTCAACAGAGGAGTGGCAGGAATAGTTTGTGATATTGAGAGCCTGGTGACAACACAGGATATGGTTGGGGGGGGTTCAGTACAGACTAGTCCTGGTTCTCTTCCAAAGAGCTAGGCACCCATTAGCAGCTGGCACACATTAGGTATGCTCCTGGAAGGCACTTCCTAAACTAAATCTGAACAGAATCTGGTTTCTGTGCTTCCTGATGCTTTCAAAGTGGGGAACAATCAGAGGATTTGCTTCAAAAGCACACCCCTGATCTGAACGAAAACTGTCACATAGGTACACCTGCCATCATTTTGACAGCCTCCTTTCACTTTAGGACTTCAAACATGAATGGCAAGTGTCAGTAGATGCCCTGTGCACCAGCACTGCACTGGCGTTTCTAACATTTACATCCCGACAGTACAGTATAGGACTGATCCCTATGTATACCTTGCCATGCTCTCCCCAGTACTACTATAAAGACCAAAGCAAAAGACCTCAGTGTTTTTTCTGCAAATCCTCTAATACCCAGAAATCCATGAATTAAAGATTTGTTTACAGAAAAGCCATAAGGGATTCTGTCGCCTGCCTGCCTTACTCCGTGATGAAGTCTGGGTGAACACAGCTCACAATTAAATCCCTTACTGACTACAGAAGCAAGGCTCATTTCAACACTGACGTACAGCTCACGGGGTAAGCGCCCAAGCAGATGTCTGCCGATGTGCCAAGTTCTCCAAGAGCACAACTCCACTCCAGCTTGTGTGTCAGGCTGACACACACTGATCCAGATCTACCACTAGGTACACAACGCCCCTAGTAAAATGGAAATGTACAGGAAAATAGAAGAGCATGAGTTTTTTAAAATACCCAGATTTTGCAGTTAGTTTCATATGTGGAAAAGCAGTTAGGTTGAAGCTTACTGCTAATGTTTTAAAAAAAAAAAAAGCAGAAAATATTATTAAACACTGCTATACTAAGAATTCAAAATGGCAAGATTGGAGAACTCCTGGTTTCTCCTGAAGACAAAACAAAACAAGTAGAAAACATGGCTCCATTGCCTGTCCTCTAGCAGGGACTAGGTGCCGTGTTATGCCCACATGGAGTCCAAAAGCCACTTGCAGACAGAGATGAAGCAAGACTACAGGAACCTTCACCAGGAGACTTTATATTGTGTGCATTTTTATAGCATCATAAGCACGTATCAGGTAAGCTGATCTGCTCAGAAAAGTCCCTACTAATCTGAGTTTTTTATTCTCCCCACTTCCCTGGGCACAGAGGGCCCTAGGATACGTAAATCCCTTCAAAGGGTTTTCAGGGGCTCACAAGACATACCAGTATCCCAGAAGGAAAAGGCTTTGTACAAATGTGGCAAAAGCCATCCTGAATCACCTCCCGGTCGGTTGGTACATAGCTATGTACAGCAGCGTGCTGCAGTCCCCAGTGTCAGCCCCTTGTCCGTAAACCATCCCGTGCGCTGGGTAAGAATAATCCTCATCAGGGTGGATTACCATTTCAGTACGCAATCCTAGTAAATGTCCAGCACAGTCTGTTTTAAACTTCCTTCGACAAACAAAGGGAAAACCCAATTGCAGATTACACACTTAAGCTAGAACAGCTACCCCCAGCTTAAAAATCTGCCTTATTCCTATTAGAGCTCTATATCAAGATCATTATCTTGATCCAACCCTCCCCGCTTCGCAGGAACAGCAGCAGCTTCCACATCTTGCACTTTCTGCTTTAACACTAATGTAGGTTCATAACCTGAACAGAGCTGTTATTGCCCCTTGCCTTTCAAAAACTGTCCATCCAACATCTCTTTACAGCAACAATTCACTAGAGCATTTTTAAGGCTATTACGTAGCACTATGCAGCCTTAACCATTCTGAGAGCAAGCAAATACCTTCCGCTGCTATGGAGAAACACCACTAATTGAAAAGGCAGCTTAGAGACAGCTCTGTAAATAACCAGCTACAGGCAAATAATCTACTTCAAATTGATTAAAAAAAAAACCCAAAACTTTTAAAAGCAGACACACTATTGCCATTATAAAAATACATACAGCCTACTGATCCTTAACAGAAAGAAGTTACATGAAGTATAACTAATTATAGCAAGCGATTAATTTGTTTTAGATCTGACACGATAGACTCTCTTATCAAAAGGATGCATTGTTTACTTATGAAGCTAAGAAAAACATCATACCTTGTCATTAGTCTAAAGCACATGAAAAATTATACCATCTTCAGAACATTCCTCTTCTTGCTGTCATGATAAATTTTACTACGACTACATAATGACATCCTCCTGCCACTCAGACAGATGAGTTTAACAAAGGGAATTTTCAACAGAACGTTGCTTTGAAAACCCTGTGATAAGCTATTTGCTAACTACTCAAGAAATTTACAATTTAAATTAGATTAGCACTGCTGACAACAGACATCTTTGGAAAATATTTCGTGAGATGACCGCAGATTAGATAACAGGAGCAGAGCACAAAGGCTGCACAGCCTATGTACAAACGAGTCTGTACAGCCTCAATTCTTGCTGAAATCTGGTAAGAACAAGGTAATTTATTTGGGGTCATTACACACTTATACACATTATATCCAGTTATACTGGATTTCTGTTATGCAAGATGGGAAGTATTGTACTCTATCTGAATTCACATAATGGCAGGAGAAAAAACAGAATATGGCTCCTAGTAATCTCTGATTTGCAAAAGCGAGAACACCTTTCAGATGCTAAAGTCAGAGAATATTCATTCTACTTAACTTCTGGCACCAAACTCAGAGCATCTCTGAAGCCTAAATAATCAGTGGAGCCTCCAAAGCACAAGACCTCTGTCAGGAATCTCTCTCTATGCTGACACATAGAAAGCCCAACCCCAGGTTTAGTGGCTCACTTTTAGGAAGTGGGTACGTGCCCATTGCACAGAAGAGAAGAGAGGTATCCAAGTGTCATTCTGATTCAGCTTTCTACCTGGGGGTGGCAGTATCTTCTGCCTGGCACAAAGAATTCTTGTTTGAAAGTAAAGGCAATATATGATGGACAAACTCCAGAATCATTTCAGTCCCTCCTTAATGTCAGCAAAGGAACAGGAAGGGAATACTTCCAGGGTATGATTTATTAGTCACAGCAGACATGTATAATAAGATGGATCAGACCCTGTGTGATCTTAGAAAGCTCATCTCCTTGGGTGCCATGGACCTCCTGACCACTTTCTGGAAGGATTGATCCCTCCTTGTGACTACAGTGAACTGGAGAATTAGTTTCCTAAATTGGATGCTTGAAGTTCGGCAGTGAACGTTTTACCTTCTATAAAATAAGCATAGCAATCTTTTTGTGGACTATTTTAGGAAGGAAAAACACAACATATGTGTCACATGCTAAATGGATCTACTGATATATATACACAGACATACATGTGCAGAAGTCTATTTATACATATATTGTTTGCCTATATAAACATGTACATTCACAAAAAAAAAGGCTGTAAACTCATCTTGCTAAACATTCATTCCTGTTCAGCATGCATACATGGTGTTATTGGTATTTTCTAAATCCAAATTTGTAATGAGGAGGGAGAAAAGGGAAGGCAGTTATTTTGTTATAGCAGTGCAAATACCAAAATAACTGCTCACTGTAGTCAGTTTATTGAACATGGTGGTCCATAAATTTCAACATGTGACTGTGCTCAAACAGAAGACATCCAAAGCTGCTGTGAAAATAAATGGAAAATTGGATCCAGCTACAAAGGCAAACTGCAGGATTGGACATGCTACAAATGGGTCCCAACGCCTCCACACAAAACACATGTAACAAATTGTGTCTGAAACAAGCTCCTAGAAAATAAGACAAATCTCACCTGATATGGTCTCACTTTATGGTGAATTTCTTGAATTCCAACCTCTCTTGTCCTTACATCACGACACTATAAAGAAAGGGAGGAAAAAAAATTACACGGGAGAAAAACATTAAGCTCTGAAACATACAGATTTCCAGCCACCTGTTGGGTTCAAAACTAAACTGAAATTGCATGAAGTTGCACGGGCGAATTTCAAATGGGTAGACTTCAAAACAAAAATGCTCACCGATCCATCCTTAACACACCTCAGAAAGAGGTCTTAGTGCTAAATGGAAAGACATGCTGACAAAAATCAATTCACTAAGCAACCATTACGGTTCATGAAGAAACGTACCCTTTGATTCACGAACAGTAGGGTCTGGAGGCAAAGTCAACATACATAAAAAAATAACAGAGGCGAAAAAAAGACTTCGGCATAATCCATTTTTACCCTGCATTGGGAAGGTCTAACATTGGCAAAATCTACGCCAAAGCACCAGAGTCCTTAAGCAGCCAGTTTTTGAATCTCAGCAACTTTTTCCTTGCTTTTAAATGAGAACTGTTGCAGAAGCCCTATCCAAATATCAGAAAGTAAAGCTAATGCTGATCTAGCATCCACAGAGCATCACTGAGGGTTGGGACCAATGATGGAGAAAAAGACAGCCAAAAGAAATCTTCCCTCCCTTATAAGTCAGACAGAGGAGGAGATGAGGCTCCAAGCTCAGTGCTTGAGACATCAGTTATAGCTTACATAAACTTTTGTGCTTCTCAGCAAAGCCGATGGAAGTTGTGTAATTTGGTACCCATTCACATAAGCAAACAGTTGTGACAGTATAAGCACTCCTACTGTGGGAGACTATACGCATTCATGTCTTAGCGGTTTTATTGGAAAGTCCAATATTAAGCTTAACCCAACATTTGTCAGCAAAGTGCAGCCGTAAGAGTTTTACCCAAAGCAGCTGAGTTGCAAATGCTCGTTTCATTCCACTAGTGCTGCTCTACTTGGAGGGAAGGTAGATAACCTCCACCAACAGGCTAATATTGCTCTAACAGTAACAACACCTACCTGCCCATGTATTTCCAAAAGCCAGACTTTTAGACATGTGCAAAAATCCAATTCACAGAAACTCCAGAGTACCCAGAACAAGCACAGCTCTATCTCATGTCCTGTCCTTCTCTGAATGCTTTTAAATTCCATTATCAATATAAAGCAACAATCTCCCAAATAGCAGAAAAAAGTGGGAGTTTGTGGTTTTTTAGAGTAGGCTATGGTAAAACCAGGATTCATTGTCATACCAGGATTCTAGAGTAGACAAACTCTTCTCTGCCTTACAATTTCCTAGCTACACAAACAGCACAGAAGGAGGCAGAGAAATATCCACTCTTCATTAAGAACCCCAGAACTGAGGAAGGACAATGTATTCTGGGATGCTGCTTTAAAATTCTGTGTCCCAACTGTGTATCTCTACTTGCACTCAGTGGCTGGCAATCATGAAGGCCAGCATCTGGTCCCTCCAGCAAGGCTCCTCAAGAATAATTTCTTTCCAACAACCACAGACACAAATTGCAGTGTTGGCATGACTGATCCCCATCCCTCAAACACACTCCTCACCAAGCCATTCCCCAAAGATGGATGCCAGAACTGCCAGAGCTGCCTGATCCTTACTATCGAGCCTGCAAATAGATAAGATTCCTGCAAGTCCCTTCCTTGCCTTGGCCTTTTCCTCTCCCTTTTCTAAGCTAAGAGACAAGAGGACAAAGCATATTTACAGTTTTCTCCTATGACACAAGAAAAAAACATAACAGTACCTTACATCTCAAGCTATATTGCAGCAAACTGTTTGGTTCCTCATTCCACCAGCTGCAGTGTTTCTGCCTCACTAAATTAAAATCTATAATCATCTGCACAGCGGAGATATTTACAGATTTGGTTCTTCTAAAAGCGATGAGTGCCAGCCTGACAAGCCCTTTAATGGTTCAGCTCAGCCCCGACTGCCATGGATCAGCTATCCCTGCTTCTCCAGCTGGTCTTGATCAGGTTCAGATCAAATGATGTTGTTTTAGTATCAAATCCAGGGAAGAGTTCACCAGTAGCCCTAAAGAGCTCAATTGAAAAGGCTTAGCGGCACCACAGAGGTTGTCTACCCTGCCTGGTTTTGAAGTGAAAAGTCAGCAGGAGAGATGGAAGCTTCTGTGGCTGGCAAAGCTGTCTGCCAAATCCTGGCTTGCTACTGGAGAGAGACTGGGAGGAATGATTTAAGGAGAAAGTCCAGGGCATCAGCTTAGGAGACATTAAGTGATATGGAAAGCCCAGCTAGAAGGAAGACAGTCTGGAGTTTCTTTACTGATCTTTTGCACTGCAACTGCAAGATCCAAGTGAGATGGCAAAGGCAGTAAGGAGCTAGATGTAGCCTAGAGAACTATCCATGTTAAATACCAAAAATATAGGTCAGCAGCACGAGTTGATGTGGGACTACAGGCAGCAGCCAAAGACTTTACCATTGCTGGATACAGTAATTCCTTAAAACCTCTTTAAGAAAAGGTGAGCTAGAAAAATGGAATGCTAAATCACAATACAGACGCATGGAACAGTTGTGGTGAGTATCTGTTCCTGCCTAAACACCAGGACACCAAAGCAATTAAAGCCCTTTGGAATAGTCTCAAGGAGCATGGGGTTTGTGTGATGTTTTGTTTAGGAAGTCGGACAGCCCAAGAAAGGAAGAACTTGGGCATAACTCTGCTGGAGGATCTGCAAACTGTGTCTCAGTGGGAGGTTTAAACAGTGAGCAGTGTCAGAACAGACCACGAGGGACACTGTGAATGCCAACTGCTGCAGCGACCTTCCAAGAAAAATTAAGACTGGGTATACGTACCTCCTTCTGACTCCAAATACAAATGCAATTTGTATTTGCAAATCCCCCTCCTTCTCTCCACCCCCGCTCATATTTTTATTTGACCTTAGAAATATCAAGAATATCAAGTCTCATTTGTTTGTGCTGAAATCTCTCTTGCAAGATTTCTCTGGCCTCAGACTAAGAGCTTTTCTTCCAATTGTTCAGTCAAGTAAGTGCATGCGTGGGAAAAAGAAAGGAAGGAGAATTTCTAATAGCATAAATTAAAAAGAAACCTTCCTGCCTTCTCTCTGATTTAAGGGTTTCGTTCTGCTAAAACATGGAATATCACAAACTAGCTACCTTTGGGAACAGCATGAAAGTGCTAAAAATCAACCAAACAAAAACAGCTTTTCAGAAGAATCATCAAGGTGCTTTTTAGTCATTAACATTTTTTTGAAAGACTTTTGCAGATTGTTTTAGTTCAGCAGTAAACCTGGCTCCTGTTGTGTCTTCTAGTCATTACTTTTCTCTCTGCTACTTTGTGTAAAGTCATCAAGCAGCTCTCCCTCCATACCAACTGACAAATATTTTACCTGTGTCCCAAGATCTTTCATCCTGGCCAAGGCAAGCTCTCTCAGGTTCCCGTGCTCCACTCCAGAGCTGACTAGTGGCATTGGGATATCTCTGCATATAAGAGGAAAAACAAAAACCTCAAACAACTGCATTAGCAGACAATACACCATAAAGCACCATTATAGTCATCTAAGCCAAGACCCCAAATAGCAGACCACAACTTATCTGAATTACCTTTGTTTCAAGTCTTTGGTTGAACAAGAAATAACACAACTAAAAGCAGGAGAAAAATGAAGGGAAAAAAGCTACAGATTTTATTTTAGTAAAAAGACTGAAGACAAAAGTAGGCTTTTACAATCCTAAGAAATAGGTTATAATTTTGCTCTCAGTTCTTCACTTGGAAGTCTGGAAAAAAAGGATCAACCAGCTGAGCCCATGCCTTGCCTAGGACTCCAGGTCAGATGTTCTTCATGGTTATCTGTTGCTGAAGAAAAGCAATTGGGAACCCGATCGTGTCTTTCTGCAGTCTCCGAGTTGAATGCCCGTCAGGGAAAATGGATCAAAATTACAACATTTTTATATTGGGATGCTAGCTGCTTAAAAGTGAAAAAGTTCTGTTTAGCAAATGATTTGCAGCAAAGCCCAGCCAGAAAGTCTAGGGTCTTCCTGCGGGAATGTAAATCATGAGTCTGCAAATGACAGAACTCCTTCCTTCAGTTCTCCAAGGAACGTATTACAATGAAATTTGAAAGCAAGACCAGGTTTGGCCTCTCTGCTGCCTTCCAGGGCAGTTCGTCCCACTAGAGATTAGGAAAGCAGGATACCATCCCTTAGTGAAAGGAGGATTTACGCACCCAGATCAAGCTGAAAAAAACCCATGCAGATTATTGGCACATCCCACTCCACGCTCACCTTCTATCTAATGCTGTACTATACGGTGATCTCAAATGCTTCCCCCCAAATCCTGCTCAAACACCACCCTGGCACCTCTGATAAGACACCACCCAAGTGCACTACTGTGTAATCCAACCCCCCTCAGATCTTCTACAGGGAAATAAGGACTATACAAGCATGAAAGTTACTCAGTAAATTGTACAGCAGGTTGGTCTCAAAACGGGGCTCAAACATTCCTTGGTGAGTATTCCTCCTTTTCCTTTATCTGTGCAAGCTTTCAACAGAGTAAAGAACAGAATATCACAAAAAAACATACAGAGAATAGGATGGTTCAGGGAATTGGTAATGTAATTAGCTTAATCCATGTTGGTTCAGTAGTGATTGAAAGTCATCACCATCTAGCAGCTGTCTGATGACCTCTGTAAAATGTATTAATTGATCTATTCAGTTCCTTGAGGACTTGCATTCACACCATGGCCCCCATTAACAATTACTATTTTTGGCAGTAGCTGTATAAAAGATAAAGGTCTTCAGCAGTCCTAAAGACCTGATCCTCATGCTGCTTCAGCCTTGTAGAAGTCTGAGACACTGGCGAGGGGGGCTAGAAAAGGAGTTTTCCTTTACTGTTCGGAATGAAAACAAGGGCTTCAGAACTCCAGGATTCTCCTCCCATTTCAGCATCGCACTCCAATTTTGGTATGACTTTCTCCAGCATAATGGAGGCCCTGTGTTTTACTTTCCTCCCCTGTTTTCCCTGCTCTTTTTTCTATGAAGCCAAAGGGTCTATGAAAAATTCCTCACCTCTTACACCCGCATGCCAAAAAGTTGAGGCAAAAATACAATTAGCCAACCAAATCATTTATTCAGTGGATTTCTTTGAGCAAATAAGACACAGCAGAGCCAACACAACACACTTTAAAGAGCCTCAATTAGAGGAAATAAGCACTTCACATTGTGACTGAAGGACACACTAGAGGAGAACAGCATTTTCATCAGGGTATGTTAGATCTACAGTGATAATCTAACTAAACTTCTTTCTTCTAATTATGGAACAACTCCAAGAAGTCAGGCTGTATGTATTTTCCCTACAGGGACGTAGATATAACATCCTGACATGTTCCAGTACCAGGTCTTTAGCTAAATCCAGAGTCAGCTATGAAATAGTAAATGAAGTCCTGCAAATAAAAGGTAGATTACAACATACAGTAACTTGAGCCTCTCTCATCTGCCTACCAGGGAGAAACCTAAATTAAAATATGAATGTGAAAAATAAGCTTTTTAAGAAAGAGAAAGCGAGAAATAGGTTTTCCATTCCCACTTCAGATTACGGCAGGCTATTTAAATAAGTACCCTGTGTGCATCATGAGTGTATGCACTAACTGCCTATTTTGAATAGCCACAAGACAGCATTGCACCAGTGGTTTTAGGACTTGTTAAAACGCTAAACAAATTCAGGGATACAGGGGATTAAATCCTGACCTTATTAAAGTTAATAAGCAATTTGCCAGAAGCTTCAACAAGGCCTATTTAATCTTCTATTTTTCAAACATTCTGTGTTACTTAGGACACTTGTGAAGCAGTTGATTGAAGCACACAGTGAAAGTCTAAAGACCTTGAGTCTGCTCTCAGCTCTGACTTACTACATGATCTCGGTTGAGTAAGGCATTTCATTTCTTCATACCTACATCTCCCCATCAGTACAGTGAAAATAACATTCAGATGAAACACTGAGATACACGAAAGAAAAAGTCTCAAGGTGTGTGACACTACTTCTGTCATTTCATGCCTTCTCACACAGCAATGCACTTCAGTGACAATGAGGTTCACAAGCATTCAGGAAAAATACAATATTAAGCATCTCTGACAGTTACAAAACACCCTGGAAAATATAGTCTCCTCCAACCAGCCATTAGCAACAGCATCTTTTTTTTTTTTTTTTTAAAAAAAAACAACCCAACATATTTTACCTGGTTTTCTGAAGCAGAAAGAGTTCTACAGTGTTTTGTCAGTGACACCTTTCCCATGCTCACCTGACTCATTAAACTGATTATTTTGAGCATGTGATGGACTACAACAACATTGAGTCCCTTATGTTTCCTCAAAACCTGGTACTAGGGAACAGAGATCCCAAACCGTGGTCCTAATAAGGAAGGGCATAGAGAGCTGTCTTCTTCTGGTGGTGTTTGCTGGAAAACCTGAATGCATATACCAAACAGCCAGTCAGTATGCAGAGAGTTTGGGACAAGTAGCCGTCCAGGGCACAAGCTGAATCCAAAAGGACTGTGGAAATAGAGCCTGAAATGCAAGATGTGAAGGATGGAGGACTCGCGGCAGCAGGGAGATGGAAAGGGCTGGGGGCAGCAATGGAGAAAGGGAAAAAAGTTGCTTGTCCTCAGTGAAGCAGTGTTGGGAACAGGCCACAAATGTTTTAGGAAATCTGGCTTTGTTCATTATTCTGTTACAGAGTCACACAATGGCCCTGAAAGCAATTTAGATCAAAGTAATAGCTTTCGGACTTTGCACTGGAGGTGTAAAAATCTGTAATCGCCACGAACAAGTTTCAGATAACATGAGCCGGTCAGTAAGAAAACAGCTATTCCACTGGAACATAATAACTGACAACCGGATGACAGCTGGATGGAGGCTGCTGCTGTTGACAGAAGAAATCAGTCAAGCTCAGGCAAATCAGCACACCAAGCAAAGACTTTTCCAGGCCTGTGTTCCTTAGAAGACCTGCTAGGCTGCAAACTCATGCTGTCCTCTAAGAATAAACCTGTTTGTTTTAGATACGATGCTATGGTGATAGCATCATGAACAAATGGGCCATTGCATCTGTAGTGGAATTGATGAAGAAGATGTGCAGGGAGAAAAGGTAGGAGTTTTGCCTTTAATAATGCTCCTACACATGATGTGAAAAGCCTGGGGGATTACCAAGGAGATATTTCCTGTAAGCCATGTTTTGCTTTCTTCATCAGTATCACATCCTTCTTCTGAGTGCTCAGCTACAGCCACCAGTTTCTCACAGTAACAAAGACCTGAAGAAAGGATCTCCTGGTCACTGAAACTATGTCTCAATTACTACAGACTGCTGTATCACAATCACATTCATAAACCTAATCAAGCTTCACCATAGCCATATTTAGCTTCTCTTCCCCTTTGGTAACTTTGGAAAGCTACTCCAGAATCTCAGTCCTGACCAAAAGTTCCCAGCTTCCTGCCTTGTTTTCTGCAAAGCTACTTCTTATTTTGTCCTCCGCCCAAATCAATGTTCCTATTTATTAAAAGGCTATTTTCTTTCTCTCATAGATTTACAGAGGTCATTTATGTCCACAGCTATCCTTCAAACAAAAGACTGATGCTCCTCTGCACATATTTCCACAGTTCATTTTCTTGAAGATGAGGATTATTCCAGACAAGGTCTTTCCAAAGCCTTGTCTGGCTGCTGGATTAATACTTTCATCTCTAAAAAGAGTTATACTGAAAAAAATGCTTTTCACAGCTGCAGTCACCAGTGGCTTATTGATATTACAGACCGAGACATTAAGAACTTCTCCTCCTCTGCTATTTTCACATGATGATCCCATGGTTTGCAGCAAAACCCCCTCCAAGTTTGACCTCAAACTTCCCTGAACTGCATCCCATCCCATCTCTGTCACTCTAGCTTCACCACCACCAGATCCTGCTTGTGCATCCTCTGTCTTTCAATGACGCTTCCCAGACCTGCAAGGTTTCCTCAGCATCCTATTATTTTTGTGTCACTGTAAATAAATATAATTTTGAGCAAGATTAGTTTGTAAATGGATGTTTGAGAAACTCCACTAATAACCCTGAGTCCATACTTTCTTTATCAAAGCTACCCAGCATTTCTTGCCTTCAGCCGCTTTCTTCCCTACCATGTTTCCCTGCTTATCCCCACTCCATCACATTTCTGATAGGGCACAAAATCAAATGCCTCAGAGAACTCCAGGCAGGTAAGGTCTAATGCACAAGGCTTTCTCATTCGGCGTGCTCTTGGAGAACTAGGCATTGGCGCTGTTTCCAGCTCATGTAGCTGGAAGCCAACTGAGTATTGTCTGCACATGCAAAAATAGGCAAGTATGCTATAAGCCTCCCTTCCTGTTATCAGACAGATTTAGAAGATAAAAGAAGAAAAATAATCCAGGGAAGACTCCACGCTGAAAATACAGCGCTAAATGGAAGTATTATCTATTGTTCTGGGAGGTGAGTGCTGGAAGTAATGGTATTACCATAGTATGTGTATGAAAACCCTGCAACACCCACAGGGAAAGAAAGGAAGTCTATAGCCAAAAAAAATGACACACCTCACAGCTCCTGCAATAGATATAGGAAACTTCACCTACAGCCAAGAAGCAATTATCCATCAATGTCATTAAAGTACTGTGTGCTGCATCCTATGCTCTTGTCTGACTGGCAGCAAAAGTGGGGCCTCCAGAAGCCCTGAGGTTTCTGGGTGCATTATAGAAGCAGTTCAATTTAAATAGCTTCTCACTCTACTTGGCCTTTCCCATTCTGAATAGATAGGAAGCAGTTTTAAAAATCTTTAGTACATTAATGATTAAGCCTGAAAAATAATAAAAGCCTGAGTCAGATCTCGCTGTAATTAAAGTAAGAATCCCTCCAAGTACAATAAATCAATATACAAGGCCCACCACAGAAAATTACCTCTGAACACGGTACACACGTGTCCATGGTGGGACGAGGGCCAGGATTCTGGCCACCAGATCCACAAGAGTGCTGGGGGGGTAGCTCTTGTATCTTCCAGTCTTCCAGAGCTCATACAGACCAGTGCCACGGATCACTAGTGTCGGATACAGCTTCATGCCGTCTGGGCGAAAAGCAGGATTCTCAAAAAACTCCTGCAAAAGTGGAACAAAAAAATGCAAGTCAGGGCAAAACAAACTACATTTCCTGGGGCTTCAGAGCCCGAACAAAACTTACAATTGTCTTTTACAAAATCTTGAGTTGCCAGTATTTTCTGGTTTATGACATTATTTGAAATAAAGAGTATGTTCTAGATTTAAAGAGAAGGCCACTAAAGAAAAAAAAAAATCCAGATGACAATGCTATGAGTCAAATCTGTACATTGCTTCTACCTTTCAGCATGAATTCAATAGATATTGCACCATTTATTGTAACAGACTCTGCTCAGAATTAGAATAATAGAAGTGAGTGTACTTATCTTCAATCTCAGCAGACCACATTTAGAGATTAATCAATGTGTCTGAGACACATCATTTGAATAGCAATGAAGAAAAACAGATTTATTCTACAATGATGTTCTGAACAATCCTAGAGAATGGGAGGGTAAACTGTATCTCCTGCTAACTCCTATGACTAAATCCCAGCACAGAACTGCAAATTGATCAGCACTAGCTTGCACAACACAACAATCACATTGGTTTTTTGCAGATTGAATTTCAGTAATGACAATTAAAATAAAATCACTTACAAAAAAAATCAAAAACCACGCAAGGCACCCTGAACCAAGCAACCACTAAACTGACTTAAGCAATGACATGGCCCTCATTGTAACAGCACCTACAGGCCCGATCTAATACTGGATTGGACTGTTGCACACTTGAAATCCACCGCTTGATCCCTCTCCAGCATAGTATTCTCACAGTAATAATACTAAAAAAATAATACAAGTTTGTTAAGCTGAGTTAATGGCAGGCTACCATGGTCCCACCAGTTGCTGTGCTAGGTTTGGTAGTCACCAGCACTTCGCTGAAGTGCTTCAACACATTCATGCAGCCCAGACCCACTCAGACATTTTGCTGTTTCCTACCACCGCTGTGTGTCAAACCAGCTCCTGGAGTGCTCCAGCAAGGCCTGGCTTTGGAATAAAGTCCCATTAGCAGCCTGCTGGGAGCAGGACCTCCCCACCTGGGCAGATCTAAGTGGCTCTGTTGGCTCACCGTGCTTCACAAAACCATACTTCAACACAATAAAAAGCAGCAAACGGACTGCTGCTAGCTTAAGCACACCAAAGTGGATCTGCACAGACTCGAGTGCATGCTAGATCCAGCGCAAGGACGGGAAGAGGCGAGCAAGGTCAGAGAAACGGCAGGACCACGTCAACCCAGGCCCTTTCTGGCAGACTCCCTGCCAAAGCCTGTGGCCGGCTCCAGCAGCCTCTGCCCTGCACACCCGCACTTCTGTGCCACCCTACCTGCTGTGCAGCTACAGAGAAAAACAGACCGGAGAGCTAATCCAGCTGAAAAAAGAAACCAGTCAAAAAATATCTTTTCCAGGCAGCCTCTTAAGCCATTTATACACATCCTCCCAGAGAGGCAGGGATAACTGAGTCAGTTTAAGAGACAAAACAAGGTCTGGACCACGGATAAAGTCACAGAATAGTTTGGGTGGGAAGGGACCTTTCAAGGTCATCCAGTCCAACCCCCTGCCATGGGCAGGGACATCTTCAACTAGACCAGGTTGCTGAGAGCCCCATCCAGCCTGACCTTGAATGTTTCCAGGGATGGGGAATCAACCACCTTTCTGGGCAACCTGGGCCAGTGTTTCACCACCCTCAGCGTAAAAACTTTCTTCCTTATATCTAGTCCAAATCTGCCCTCTTTTAGCTTAAAACCATTACCCCTTGTCTTATCGCTACAGGCCCTGCTAAAAAGTCTGTCCCCATCTTTCTTATAAGCCCCCTTTAGGCACTGGAAGACCGCTATAAGGTCTCCCCAGAGCCTTCTCTTCTCCAGGCTGAACAACCCCGAGTCCACACTGCCGCTGCAAAATTAACTGTCAAATCCTGGATTCATGGTCTGATGAAGCTTCAGCCATCACCATCCCAGCAGCACTGCTGGCTTAAGGAGCAGTAAGTCCCAGATGGCCCCATAAAGAAAAAAAACCAACAACGCAAGGAGGAGGTAGTGGTTTTAAGTTTTGCAGGGTTGTTTTAACTCGGATCAACTGACGGACTTGGGTTACCTGCAGCTTTGCAAAATGGTTGTGCCAAAAGCTGCTGCTGCTGAGAGAACCCCATCCAGGCACAGCCTTGTTGTGCTCACCTCGTTACAGAATTGCTAAACAAATTGGTTCACGCAGAAAGTGAGACCCACATTCCCCACCCTCAGCCTCCTGGAGGGATAACTAACTTATTTCTCGTCAAACTGTATCCAAGACACAAGACCAACCACCCCAGACGGATAACACACCTTGTATCCCATTAAGCTGCACTATCAGTAAAGTAAATGGTTTACAAGGAAGTTGGCCAAAGGCAGATAAAGACAGTTGACTCTGAACCCCAGCGTCAAGGTGCTCACTCTGGAGCGTGCATAGGTATAAGGTTGGTCTCCTCCTTTCCTCAGATCTGTTTATGCACTCCATAAACTCTCCTGTTCATCATGAATCTCCCATCGCCACCGTGAGATGAAAAAACATACTTGTCTTGGCAGCTCCATGAAATAATAAATCATCATCATCACCACCTCTGAGGATAGGACATAAATGGTGTATTCGGAGACACCCTGGGCTGGTTTCTGCTGCAGCTCCACAGGCAGCAGATGTGATGGCTCCCTGCCCTGCCCACGCTGCCAGCCACGTCGTCCTGTTCCTAACCTTGTGCCAGCTCCGATTCCTGATGGACCCTTGACCAGGATGACTCACGTCACTGATGCAGGAAAACCCAACATGCGTTTTGGGGAGAGCGCTTTTCTTCTTTCAGCATTGGGCTGGGTTATGGAGTGGTCTATTGAGCACCGTTGATGAATCCTAGAATATCTCAAGTTGGAAGGGACCCATAAGGATCACCGAGTCCAACTCCCAGTACGGAAGTAAGGTCAGAAACAGGATCTGCCCCCATGTGACAGCAGGGGACCATTATGTCTGCTTAACGCATCTCTTGGAAGCCTGTGTCCTCCCCTCTGCCCCGAGGGTTCAGTTTGACTTTGCAGGTCAATACTGTCGTTGGCGGCTGTCAGAGAAGGCAGATATGCTTTGCTCTTGGCTGACCATTCTTACCACATCTCCAGTGCTGGCCCTAGGGTGCATCTGATGCTCAAGATGCAAAGAGTGGGAAAAAGAGAAAAAAGATATATCACTGGACTAATTTTGAAACCAGCCAGCTGAAGCAGGCATGTTACCCAAAGTCATATAGCATATGAGGTAGCATAAGGTCAGAAAAAGAATTCAGAATCCTGTTGTCCTGGAACAACCCAAAACTTCCATCTTTTCTGGGTGGTTAGAGGTGCTCTAATGTAAAACAAAGCAACTGTGAAAGAAGGAATAAGAAAATCGTGTAAGAGGTCATTGTTCTGACAAGCGAAGCTCTATGGCCAAGTGGCACTGAAGAAGAGAAAGACATTAAGGTGAGAAAGCAATGATGCTTCCCCAGTGAGATACAGGAAGGTAAATAAACCACTCCAGCAAGGAGAAAAGGCTTCCAGTAAGGTTACGTATTAATATTCGCAACAATACTGAACCAAATGCAAAAGCGTGTATGATTCACCAGGCAGAATATTTAAACATTCACTGATTTACATTGCAGATTAAAGGCAAAGGCATCAACACAGCACTAAGGTTAAAGCCATCCTGCAGTCAAAGGCAAGGTCAGAAGTTAAGGTTTCTAATCACATTGTCAATTTTGCCACTTCATACATACTGCATATTAAGCTAGCTGATAATGCTACTCAATATTTCAGTAATGCTGCCATTAAAAAAGCAACAGATTTTCATATTTATTTCTTAAACTATTTCTCAAAATATCCCTCAAGTTTAATTATTTCAAAAGTAATTAATTTCAAACAATACAACAAAGCAGTGTCTCCTTTTTTTCTGAACCTCTTTTTCCAGCAGTAAACTTTAAATAGTTTCTGTAAATCCCAATATTTAAAGGCTTAACCTTTTCCCATTTACAAACAGCTTTGATTAAGTCTCTCATGAAACAAAGGAACTATAAAATGCCAACACATGCCAAGCTTTAGTAAGAATTGTAGCCTTTTCTTTTTTTAATTAGACCCCTTAAAAGGTGTCTTCAGCTGATAAAAATGTTCAGAATAGTTTACTGCCAAAACAAATTCAATCCCTAAAACAACATTTGTTCCAGAGACCACCATCCCTAGCATCACTGGAGTCAACAGGAGGCTTTCCATCAGCTCTAGCAAGCACTCAGTCAGAGCTTAAATCCACGTCTGCTAACGCACTGTGAAGTTAGAGGTTAAAGGTGACCCAGAGAGAAAGGATCCCTACGTACTTCCAGCCTTTTTGAACCACTTGAGGATGCAGCATAGTGCTCTCACATGCATGAATATTCTAAACGGAAGCACGTACAACTTCAAAGCTACTAAACCAATTTTCTTTGAACTTCAAGTTTTCTCCCCCCTAGCTAAAGACTGTAAGCCAACTAGCATTTAACACGTCTTGTATCATAAAGATGGATGCTAGAGTAAAATTTTAAAGTTGTGCATGTAGATGATGGACATGACGTGAGAGATTATCATAGTGGTTTAATTGTAATAAAAAAAAAGGTCAATTCAGATCAGCTGAAACTTAAGTGATCTGGAGGTTCATAAACACGGGCCTTTTCATAGCCTAAAATAACGTTTCTCATAACTTCACCCAATTTATGTGGTATTAGAAAAAAGTTGAGTACTTTCTCACGGCAAATAATATAACAAGTAACCAGAGAATCATGGAATTCACAATTTTTTTTGCTTCACCTGAGCTCCATTAAACATACTTTACTTGTAGGAACAGCTGCTCTGTGAATTACAAACAATGAATCTTAATAAGATCCCATCAACACACATTCAGTCTACAAGGTTATACAAGTTAGCTGCTAACATGTTTTATGAGAACAGTAATTGATTTTACTAGCATATGCCTTTGTTGTAGAAGTTCCCTG